CCACAAATTTTTGTTTAATATTTTTTTATTGATAATGATCATAAACAAAGCTTACAGAAACTTCACTACGTTCGTATGTTCCAATCTGAGTTGCAGCAACTCTTTCAGATCTCTTTCTGAGTCGAACCGCTTCAGAGCTACAGAGTTCCCATTCAGTTCTCCCTTCATTATATTACCACTCTCATATAACCCTTGACCGTTGAGTTTGTCGAATTCTACTTCTGCAACCGTTACGCCTGTTTTCTTGAGTATAGCAAATTGCTTGTTTTTAGTGAATGACATAAATGTTGAGAACAAAATAAGCTATTTGAATGCCTGTAAAGTAATGTTTTAATAATACTGACTTACTAAAGTTGTAATTCTGTCAGTGTCTTAAATATTACGGCTATCTTTATCTTGACTTTGAAAATTGTTTGCTAAACTTAAAAAGAGGTCAAAAAGACTTTTTGTTTTTTAGTGTCGTTTCTTTATCGTTCTTTAAACTTTTTTTTTCTAGAAAATTGCATTGCGCTGCTTATATGAGATGAATTAGCAGCCCAATAAAAGATAGTAAAGTTCTAAGAAGCAGTGAAATCTTTTTTATACCTTTTATCAGTTGTGATATGCAATGAATAAATATTTCAAAGGTAAAACTCATATAAGCGAAAAACGTTAAGTGAAGAGTTGTTCCAGCAGCTAGCAATAATGTATAAATAAAAAGCATATGGTTGTTTCACATAACTTTGATGTTTGTGTGATTAACTAAAGTTAATTTATCATATCTTTTTTATTTTCTATTTTTTTTATGAAGGCTAGCAGCATGAAACAAAAATTTACAAACCTGGAAGAGGATAAATAGACATGGCACAGCTGCTAAAAAGTTCCTTTGTTGAGACGAAGATGTGCTGTTGTCTCCGCTTTTACGTGCAATAGGTTGCAGTTTTGGATTGGCAGTACAAAGAAACTGATAACAGTGTTGTATACCAACTGGAGTTTAGAAGATAGTTATTTCCAACTTTTTCAGTTTGACACTACAAATAATTATGCAAAATATGAGTGAAATTGAAGTAATCTATTCAATCAGAAACTTTATAGAAGCCAACCCAATTTTTAATTTTGCCTCGTTTAACTAGATTCTACAACGTTACTATTCACTCATTACTTTGTTTCTAGTTTTCCTGCAAAGATAGCAAAAAAGCAAAGCAAAGCTCAATTTTTTTATCTTTGCTGCTTTTACAGTATTTCTCACTCGATTTTTTCAGTACTGGTTTTTACTTTTTTATAATACTACTAGGAACAGCGCAGCTGAATTTCGGAAGAACAAGTGGTGCGATTTTACGCAGCCACATAAAGTAAAAAACTTTAAGGTATTTCTGAAGTAAACTTCTCCTCGACTTCAGTTATTATGCTTTTTTTTAATTTGTTGTCTTTTTCAAGCTTTTTTCTCTGTTTTTTTAAATTTTTTTTTTCAAGGTTTAACGTTGAAAAATGGTAGCTGTGGAAGAGGTTTCAGCACATAGAATACTTCCATCAAATCTTAAAAATTGTATATTTTTTGTTTAACAGCTGCAGAATAATAATGAAGAGTAGTTGTGTCATTGTGGTTGTTGTGACTGAATAGAAACGTTGCCTAATTATCTGGTGCTGTCAGTAGACTTTCAGAAGGCAGAAACCTGGAACGACGCAAGAACTTCTTATCAGTCCTCTCGAGAAAACTAACGTTGTAAGTGAGCTATCGCTAAACATGAGCAAAAATTATTTTTTTCGAATATTTAACTTTATAAAGGCGCAGTTAAGCAGTTTTTTGTAATCGAGAAAAACAAAAAATTCTGGAGGATTTCTTTGTTTTTTCAAACGCTTTTGCGGGTAGAAGTCTTATGCTGGAAAAACTTTCTGTATATGTCTATGTGTTGGCCAATAACAGCAACTAAACTGATATGATCTTCATGCTCGTGATTCTTCTTGCTGGTGGAGAAGAAATGAAGAAAAATAAAAGGTAACACTATACAACTAACTCTAGCAGCTAACACTAGCAATTTAATGAATTCACAGCAATTTTTATAATAAAAAGGTGGTTTGAAATTTAGCACTTTTAGCTCCATACTTATTACTATTTATCGACTCATCAGTTAGCATTAGCAACAATTTCTCCTACCGTTAACAATTGTAAAAAATGTTTTTCCTTAACGATTTTGCCACACTGTGAACCTGCGAAGTCTCTCGGCATTAACAGGTAGTTAGTGAAGTTCTTAGTGGTTTAGTAACAATAAGAAGAAAAGTAAGCC